TCATCGCGCTGTGATGACGTCACATGCGCGCTTTCGTCGAGCGCGATTTTGTCCTCCGCAGTTTTGACGGGTCACGACCTATTGCTAAATTCCCAGTACTTTCAAAAGATCTTTTGTTTAATGTGCTCCTTCTCCTTTAAGAACTCTGTAATATATCTTATTTCTAGAACGGCAGAATTACTTATCTTCCATTAGAAAGAAATATTAACATTTCCACACAACTGTTTCGAAACTGTTTCAAAATTCTCCAACCTTCAATCAAGTAGAAGCCTCTATAGACAAATTTCCTACAGCGAACATCTAAAAAACATTTGTTCAAACTCACATTTTGGAGTTCACTTTGTCAGGAAAAGAATCAGCCGGAATCCAGTTAGAGCCTTTCATAAAAATGGGCCGTCCATTTATTCTGAAATAAAAACTCAAACCGGGTGAATCAGGAATAGGTTCCTCTATCAGTTCTACTGTCCGAAAATAAACCTGAGGAAAATGAAAATTTGGACATATTTGAGAAAAATCTTTACATTAAAGATGTATGATTTGGATATTCTCCTCCCCAAAACCACCATGTGAAATATATTGTAACCTTATTGCAATAATTCTTAAAATAAGAAAGACACGAGGTTGGATTAAATTGGAATCCATTGGAAATGGAACCTAAAACTAGACACTGCTGGAAAATTCTAAGATTTCTGCTTGAATCCCGATTCTTTTTCAACAAAAAAATATGTTTTTGCTATGAACACCCATGCAGTTTGTTTACAGTATAATTTGTGGTAATGTAATGTAAATTCAGGGTAATTTAATGAATCAACTAAAGAAAGTATTTATTATAATCAGATGCATACACAGAGAAATTACAGAAATCTTAGGACAGATTTAAAAGGATCACATTTTTTTTCTCCAGACACTGTTTCTGATTCAAATTACAATTAAAGGGGTGGGGGGAGAAACAGTTCAGTTATGTAAAAAAGAACCTAAAGTTTTTGTTGGCAACTTTAAAGGAGTAGCTGGGTAAATTTGAGATTATCCCAATTAATTATACAGTGAGTTTCTNTCTAGATTCTTGGTCAAACTATATTTTCCCAGGCAAACACAGAAGCAAGAATTTCAAACTGGAAAAGTCCTACTTCGTTCTCAACTAACGCTTTAAAATCAACGGAAGGATTAAAATCACGCTGAAAATGGGGTATAAAATCAGTTAACATTTGTCTAGATTGTGCTTGCTGACATGGTTTTCCAGTATGCACCAAATGGTGCACTGATTTTCATGCAGAAGAAAACTCTCCACATGCAACAGATGTGGTCCTCACCTTGCTGACATTTACGAGCAACACAATAGTGCCTTCTCCAGGAAGAAGTTTCCCAGTGAACATCTGCTGGATCCTCAGCTCAGGAATATCCACAGCCACAAATCCAGCAATTGGCTTTTTGCTGACAACATCAAACTTTGACTCTATCTGAAGGTGCCACTGATGAATATTTCGCTCTGGACAAAAATAAAAACAAGAAAGTTGATTGCTGGCAGACATGAAATACGATGCTTCTTTTACGTACTCTATTACGTCAAAATGGTCTTCCTGATCTGGTATTGTCTAGGAGTGATGGACCATCATGCCCAATTGGGGATGGAGACTGCAGGTGAGATGCACATCTTTTTCTTAGTTAAGATACACTTTGCCTTTCAATACCTGGCAATGGCCACACTCCAATAATAAACAGGTAAAGTCAGAACAAAATGATCAGCCACTGCCACTGACTTCCCTCTTCGAATATTAGAAAATTAAATCCATGCACCCGAGATGCTCATCCATTGACCAGGAATAATAGATTGAGACATAGAAGATAAATGCTGCATCAAGACTATTATAGTTATAGCAGCACAGAAGCAGCCTTTTAAAATTCTATACCTAATTTGCAACTGAAGCAGTGGTGGGTTGCTGCGGGTACAGCCTCGTACGGCTGTTCCGGTAGTGGCCGGGAGCAGCTGAGAGCATACCGGTACAGTGGCTCGTTTGGCCCACCTGCCCACCCGCACTCTATAGGTTGTTTTTATGCCAAAAGGCACATTGCGCATGTGCACAGCGTGAGGTGCCCGCGCACGTCCCAACAAGCAGCTGTGTATCGCAGGGGCGATGGATTGCGCATGCGTGCACAGCGCACGTCATAAGCGTGCACAGCACACGTCAGGCTCATGCACGGACAGACCATGATCAGCGTACTGGTAGCGACGGTAATTTTTAAGTAAAATATTTATGAACCTTCTCTCTGACCCTCCCATATCATATTTTGTAGTTCTACTTTAAGACAATATTACCCACTAGTAAAATTAACTAAAATGTATTCCCCCCAAAAAAACACGGTGGCTCAGTGGCTAAGACACTGAGCTTGTCAGTCAGAAAGGTCGGCAGCTCGGTGGTTCGAATCCCTAGTGCCGTGTAATGGAGTGAGCTTCCATTACTTGTCCCAGCTTCTGCCAACCTAAAAATTCAAAAGCATGTAAAAATGCAAGTAGAAAAATAGGAACCTTCATGGGTTGGAAGGTAACAGCGTTCCATGCGCCTTCGGCATTAAGTCATGCCAGCCACATGATCACGGAGACGTCTTTGGACAGCGCTGGCTCTTCGGCTTTGAAATAGATATGGGCACCGCCCCCTAGAGTCGGGAACGACTAGCATATATGTGTGAGAGGAACCTTTACCTTATCCCCTCAAAATAATAAAACATATAAACTTGTAGGAAGATGGAGCCTTGAATTCTTCCCCAGAGATATTATTCTACAACCAGCTCTAATTTTGCTTTAATAAACTGCTTTAAACTGACTTTATGTCTATCGGTCACCAACCTCAGTTACATTCAATAGCATCTGCCCAGAATTTCAAAGACAAATCTTTGACAACACTACTTAACAGCAGTGTGACCAGAAACATTTTAGGATTTTGAGAGCAGCTTGCAGATGCTGCCACAAAAAACCGCCACCACAGAGAAAAGGGAAGTTGCCTGCTCACAAAATGGTTTCTTTTGTAAGCGAAGCCAGAAGGCCAACTGGTGAGATTGTTCCCTGCTGTTTCTCTCCTGATCAACTAACCACCTTATCTTGGTCTTCTAAGCACGTTAAGACCAACTTTCAGCAAAGGATGTAGCCACCGCCTCCTGTATTTTCAGAGAAGGCCCCCAAGAGCCTTGGCACCAGCACTCTGCTTTGCAACATGATAATCTCTTATTTATGTATTTTAAAATAATAGCAATAGCATTTAGACTTATATTCCGCTTCATAGTGTTTTACAGCCCTCTCTAAGCGGTTTACAGTCAGCATATTGCTTCCCGCAATGGTGGGCCTTCCTTTTACCTACCTCAGAAGTATGGAAGGGTGTCACTGTCAACCTTGAGCTGACCAGGATCGAACTCCTAGCAGTGAGATGAATTAGCCTGCAATACTGCATTCTAACCACTGCACCACCACAGCTCAGTAATATAAGAATCACTTTTAAAAGTCAAATGGAAGAGTAGTAGGCAGTCTATCAGAAATACAAACTCCATGCTTAATGCAGGAAACCTATCTTCATGCCTAAAACAGCATTTAGATACGGAGAGCACCTATAAAAAATCTTTTTTTTTTTCATTTCAATATTCTGGACTGTAAGAGTACTCCTCCTTCATTACATGTAGTAATATCTCATTTTTACAGCTGATTCTAGATACATTAAATACTGATTCATGTGCTGGTCTTGCACTTTGGATAACCTTTGTATCCAGCTTAACACACTTTCATCATAAGCCTTTATTCAGGAAAGCCTTCATAGAACATGCACAGCCAAGAAAAGGAACTTTCAGGAAATTGGGCAATGAGCTGACAAGCAAAGAAAGAAAGACAACATCTGTTCAAAGCACAGGAAGTAATTTGATAGAAGGTCCATAATAGACAAGCTAGAAACGAAGGATAGCAATAGCAGTTAATATAGGGAGAGCAAGAAGGCTGTTAAGTGAAAACAAGGAGAACAGGCAATGTTCAAAGTTTGTGATACAATACAATTTATGAATCTAAGAAGAATTATCCAACAGTAATTACTGGAAACCCTTCATAAAATCAATTTTATATTCTGGAAAAAGAGGTAAGCACACAACTGAAGACAGATCGCTAAAACATTGGCTTTCTTTATAGAAACACAAAAAGATTCTAGACCCGTGAGGGCGAACCTATGGCACGCCTGCCACAGGTGGCACGCGGAGCCATATCTGAGGTCACACGAGGCATTGCCCTATGTCAGCTCCAGCACACATGCGTGTGCTGGCCAGGTGATTTCCAGCCTTCCAGAGGGTGTGGAAGGTCATTTTTGTCCTTTGGAAGTTCAAGAATGAACTTCCAGAGGACAAAAACAACCTTCCACACACTCTGGAAGGCTGAAAACCACCTGGCCAGCACACGCATGTGTGCTGGAGCTGACATAGGGCAATGCCTCGTGTGACCTCAGATATGGCTCCGCGTGCCACCTGTGGCAGGCGTGCCATAGGTTCGCCCTCACGGGTCTAGAATCTTTTTGTGTTTCTATAAAGAAAGCCAATGTTTTAGCGATCTGTCTTCAGTTGTGTGCTTACCTCTTTTTCCAGAATATAAAATTGATTTTAT